CAGTGGATACGATAAGTCACAAACACTTCCACACAATTACGAAAACAATCAACTCCATTGGCTCTCTCAGTTATCTATTGTTACGTGACACCTGCCCCAAAACTCAGTGGCTTTATTTGCTCACAATTCTGTGGGTGAGCAATTTAGACGATCGCAGCTGGGCAGGTCACTGCCGGGCAGCCCTGAGGTCACCAGTGCAGATGCAGTCACCCGGGAGCTTGCCGTGGGCTTGGTGTGCAGCCTTGTCTCCAGAAGGCTAGTCCAGGCTTTCTGCGCAGCCGTGGAGGAGGTCCCAGCAACGAGAGAGGGCAGGATGCAATGGACAAAGTGCTTCTGAAGTCTATCCCTGTGTCACGTTTGCTCACACACCACAGGCCAGAGCGACTCAGACGGCTAAGCCCAGTGCTGGCGTGAGGAATACATACACAGTGTAGATTCAGGGATGTGAGTGATTAAGGGCCATAACCGTAGCAATGTCCCACGGTAACTGTTAGCTCTTTTTAGCCAAGTAATAAGAGTGCTTTTGTAAGTTAAAGGATAGCCTTCAACAAGGATTGCTATCCTTATTTTCCTCTAAGAATAAATGAGAACTTTATAGAAAATAGTATCTCCTGCCCTGGCTGGCATAGCTCAGAAGATTGAGAGCGGGCTGCGAACCAAAGTGTCGCAGGTTCGATTCCCAGTCAGGGCACATGCCTGGGTTGCAGGCCACGGCCCCCAGCAACCGCACATTGATGTTTCTCTCTCTCTCTCTCTCTCTCTCTCTCCTTCCCTTCCCTCTCTAAAAATAAATAAATAAAATCTTAAAAAAAAAAGAAAATCGTATCTCCTAATGCAGTAGAACAGGAAACAAACCCAGTTTTAGTCTTGAGCAAATGACACGTTTCTTCAGTCCAGCCCTTTCTGATCTTCAACTAGAAAGTAGTCTTCGACTGCCACTGATACACAGTATGATCTTAAGAGACTTACTTATTTTCTCTGAGTATTACTTCCATCCCGGGTAAAATGGGGATTTCACCACTTGTCCTGTATGTTGCACATGGTTGTTTTTCCAGCTGAACTGAATCCGTTTTTCAACATTTACTGAAGACCAACTACGTTCCAGGCTTGTGCTGGGAAAACAGAAACTATAAAGACACTTCCGCACACTGTATAAGAATGTGAGTAATACTTTAAAAACTGGAAAGATTCCAAATGTATAAAAGCATGATATATTTATATAGAATACCATAGAGAAGTTAAAATTAATGAACTATGCGGAACAACCATGCACTGGGAGTACACTTTACGCACCACACAAGGGCATCAGCCAAGGGGGTAAGCAGATGCTGAGGTCCCACCCACACCGGGTTTGCCAAGCCACAAACCTTGATGCAGGCTTCATGTGTCTGGAGAAAGGAGTGCTTTTTTTCTTTTTACAGAGCTGCCTTCTGCTTATCTGAGGGGCTGTTTCAGTACACAGGAAGTGCCTCGTGCTAGTTCTCACAAAAGCACAGAGTAACCCTGACTGGTGTGGCTCAGTGGGTTGGACGTCATCCCACAAACCAAAGGGTCGCTGGTTCAATTCCCAGTCAGAGCACATGCCTGGGTTGTGGGCCAGGTCCCCAATGGAGGGTGCTCGAGAGGCAACCACACATCAATGTTTCTCTCACTCTCTTTCTCCTTCCCTTCCCCTATCTCTAAAAATAAAGAAATACAATATACATTGTTTTAAAGATTTTCTTTTTATTTATTTTTAGAGAGGGAAGGGAGGAAGACAGAGGTAGAGAGAGAGAGAGAAACATCAATGTGCGGTTGCTGGGGGTCATGGCCTGCAACACAGGCATGTACCCTGACTAGGAATCGAACCTGTGACACTTTAGTTCGCAGCCCGCGCTCAATCCACTGAGCTACACCAGCCAGGGCAAAAATATACATTTTTTAAAAAAGATGAAAACATATGTGGTTAAACTATAAAGAAAAGCATGGGAATGAGTGTAAATTCAGTTTATCAGTTTCTACTAATTAAAGAGGAAAAAAAACAGGATTGAGGAAGCACACAAGAATTTCAAAGCTCTAGTTTTTATACTAACACCTTGTACCTTCAGATATTTTATAAGTATGTGGTATATACATTCAACATTGAATAAAAACAATTGGAAAAAAAAGACTTGCTACCTGTACTCAGAAAGTTTAGACTCTGTAAGAGGAAGAGAATCAATATGTGTGTGTATATATACACAGGTGTGTGTGTGTATTTATATAAAAATAAGAGATGTAACAGAATGTGAGCTTTGCTGAAGGCACGCACAGCCCGACAATTTCCAACGGGAGCGCCCCGCCGGCTGAGGAGTGCCCAAGTGCTTTACAAGGTAGTGTCTGCCCTACACGTGCTAACTATACAAGCATGAAACAGTTACTCACAGGATCATTTCAGGTCTCAGGGTGATAATTACAACTGTATAAGTAACATTTGTTTTTGACTTTTAAAAAAAACCCTGAATTTAGAACTCAAATAAAATTCTATTATTTGTAATAAGGGCAACGTATACAGGAGCTGCTGTAGGGTGGGTCTAATAAATATCAAAATGAAACCTGGGAAAAGTGACACAGTCATGATTCTTTTTATTTTACTCCCCAGAATAACAGTCAACAGGAAGCAGAGGAAAATGCTGGACTAAAGAAACCAATCACTTGCTCAAAAATCTATACAATTTATCTTCACAATCTATACTGGTTTAAAAAAAAAAACAACTTCTCTTTAAAATGCTAACCACAGAGTTAAGACATTCCCATTTATAGTTTTAGAATACTACTGTATTTGTAACATCTCTATATAAATCCATGTAAACGCATTATTTTAAAGGCTAAGATAAAGACCAGATGTGGTGTAGAGAGAGAGGGATAAAACTGGGGGGACTTGAGTTTTATTCAAATCACCTCAAATACCCCACGTTTCAAGACTGATGAATAGGGGACTTTATAAAATCGTGGGCCTGCCTTTGGTGCTGAAGCCAAGCTTTACGCAGGCCCCTTTTCCTGAATTTTATTTAGTTAAAATGTAATCATTTTCAAACCAGCCTTCTTAACTTACAGAAAATTTCCTTTATTTTATTTTAACTGAGAAAGGGGAGCCATTTATAATCCACTATATTAAAAATATAAAAATAACTATGAGAAGACAAGTACAGGCTTCTATTACACACTTCTATTACAAATTACATGATAAACATGTGTCAAACAATAAATTATCACAGCCATCTCTACACAAAGCTTTCAACCTATAATACAGTTCAGATTCAAGTGTATTCACTATTGTTAATTAGTATTTTTTGCTACTAATTAAAACTACAAACTAGGGTTTAACAATAGCTTAACAGGAACCATAGAGTAATTTCAAAGTTTTATTACAAAGAAGACTATTTTGAAAGTTAAAATAACATTTAAAAGCCAAACTGGTATTCCTCATTATCAAATAATAATTTTAGACTATACTCTTGAAGCAAAAGAGGATCAACAGCAAGATCACATGTACCACACCAATTTTCAAATCCAAATACAGAGCCACTCAAAAAACAGTTGTTCAGTTTAGTTTCATTGTATTAAACACACACACCCCCCAACACCAAGCTTACAACTGCTTATTAGTATTTTGTGATCAAGGTGTCTATATCACCATTAACCAATGTCACCCCAATAAATTTAATGGTAAAAATAAAATTAAAAATTTTAAAAATAAAAATCACAATAAAATCAAGTGTGCTATATCCCATTGTAAATCTTTACACCTAAATCCTACTCAACCAATTCCATTATAACAATCAGAGAGGCTAACAATTACTTATATCGCCATCTATACTCAAAAAAATATATATTTTTATAAGGTATATAAGATGCCTTTGTAAGACAATTAAGTTCTTTATGAAAAAACAGAAACTGATTTAAATAAATATATTTTGTTATTTCTTAATTCCAAAGCCTACAATCAAATTTAATAAAATTAGAACAAAAATGTTATTCCACTGTCTACTGCTATACTATCATAAATATATATGTATGTACATGTATATGCATGTGTCTTTATGTGTGTGTATATGAATGGTATCTGGTTACACAATAATTTTGAAAAATTTAGAAATTATGGAAAATCATAATATCTATAATCCTGCCATCCCAAAAATACCCAGTCATCCACTATTAGTATTTGCCATAATAATAGCTTTGTGAATTTTATTAGTGGGCCTTATTATTAGTGGGGCTTATTCCCTAGTGGAAATGATATAATTTTTAAATATGTTAATGGGGTCAAATATATTTATAATTTTCTAATATTAGCCCATCTGTGCATGTAAGACATGAGCCAAATGTGGCCGTAATGTTTGATCCCTTTTGCACAGGGCTGGGCTCGGTTTGCTGGTTTACTTTAAGTTTTCATTTCTATATTCATAACTGACATAGACCTATAACTTTTCTTTCTCATGTTTCTGTCTGGTTTAAGTATCAGAGTTATACAGGTCCTGCAGAATGAGTTGGAAAGCATTTCCTCTTTTTCTATAGTCTGGAAAAGTTTGCATAAAATTGAGATGATCTGCTCCTCGAAATTCTGGTAACATTCATCTATAAAATCATCTGGGCGTAATGTTTCCCTTATGAAATGATGTTTTTTTCTTTTTCTTCAATTTCTTTAAGAGTTATATGATTACACAAGCAAATTATTTCTTAAATCTGTTCTGAAAGTTAAATTTCCCAGGAATTGATCTATCCCCACCCACAGCAATCTGGACCAAAAATATACAACCTTTCAAAATTGTGACCCCTTTCTATCTGAATTTAGAATAAACAATGTATTTGGAGAGCACTGAATAACATAAGTCATTTGTTTGCTTTTATTTTTAAGGAGGGAAATAAGAATCCCTGTAACAGGTCTGAAAATAACAGGATATACCTTGGGTACTACAGCACCTTCATCGCTACTTCTGACAGACAGAAGTGGGGGTGCACGCCTGTTAGCTGCCACTTACCACCAGAAACAGGGGCGTCCATGAAAACTGCTCCCATCTTCTCGACCTCTTTGGCCAATTCCTTTGAGACCGCGGGATCAATAGTACTGGAATCTATCAACAGTGAGCCTTTCTTCACTTTTCTAAGTAAATAAATAAAAAGAGTCTTTTCAAAAACTACAGTTCTAAAAACATAGTTTACAATGCTGAACAAACATTTCATACAGCTACCTACAGAATCAGAACCTGCTAAAAGCTGCCAGATATCAAGGTCGTCTTTGATGGTTCAGTATTAAAAGCATTATCAGAAGTGATCCAAAATGTCAAATTCATTTTCAGATTAATTACAGCACCAAGGAAACCCACTTTTTCAAACAAACCAAAATAGTCTAGTAAAATGGTATAAATTCTGGTTTTAGATGAAATACACAATAACCATAACATAGGTTAGGTAAGCTAAGATTTAAGCAATTTAAAATACCTATTAACTTTAAAAGAGGTATTTGGTAGAATTTTAATTTTTGTTTGTAAAATAACTGGGTCTCTTTTAAAAGTAATTGATCTGTCTTCAAAATGCCATATTGCAAATTTCACATATCCATCTTATTGCTACTAGGTAGAATAAATATAAGCAACTGAAGTTTAGCCATTTGCTTTAGGATGGTGTATTCTTTAATAACTAACTTCTTAAAGACAAAATAAAAAATCAAACAGGCAGAAAGGGAAATATAGGAAAGGACCTGGAAATCTTAACGTTTTTGTTCTTTACGGTAAATTTACATACGTACTTTGCTAAAAATGGGAAGCAGCCTTTTCATATATTATATTTTATATCAATATTAAATGGAATCTCATAGTAAAACATTTTTGTTTGCTCAGTAAATGCAGGCTATATACCTAGACAGTTCCCTTATAATCTATAACCTAACTGGCTAGGAAACTCTGACCTAAATTATAATTTATTTAAAGCACTATGGTTAACCTTTAATCCAAAATTCCCCAAGTTCTTGTTACAGATAAACTAACCCAGAAGACATTTAATAAGAATTATGACTGGAAAATTAGAATTGAATGAATATAAATTTTGAATGGGCAAACAGATAACCATTGCTAAGTACTACCAAAAAAGAAAAGAAAAATCTTCCTATAGACAAAAATACCACATAAAATGCTTATAACAATTTCAGACATATGAACTGATCTGGTCCCAATGCCGTAATTGTGTGTATTCCACAGGAAAACAAAACAGCATGCTCTAATATATATCACCTCAATATGTAAAGTTTCACTTTCTGCAACCTAAAAGTAAGACTTAAGTTTACCAGTCTTTTGTAATATTGGTATATTTAACATCTTAAATCTTTAAGAAATGGGAAATCACCCCAAAACTTGCACATGCACTGGGTATAGAAGAATGATCCTGACCCAGAGGAAATAAAAAACCACCCCTGAGAAGCACATTATAATTCAATGTGAAGCCAAACTCTTTCAAAGCACTACCTAAACAAGACTGCTCTGGTAGTTGGCCACCCTATTCCTGAGCAAAGGATATTAATAAATGTAGGATTTGTCTCCATGCAAGTTTTTAGTGGCTTTTCCTTGAGAGGTAAAGCAGGGCCATAACTGGAACAGACTAGGTCACCAGACGGCAAGGTCTTCTCGGGACCACACACACCGTGGGCCCAAGGGCTCCATCCAGTGGGAGTGTCTTCCAACCTTCCCTGAAATCTAAACATTTATCTTATCACTCTTCTGCCTAATATCCAAAGTGTCTTTTGCTTCCAGGTTTGTTAGTTTTCCAAAGCAATTCAATTTCCAAAAACCTCAAGTTTCCTATTATTACAGCTTCATGAAATTAAACCCTTTCTTTTTAGCCCTCCATATGTCTGCAGGGCCTACCAGTTCATTCTCCCTCGGTGTGTCTACCTCGGTGTTGAAATTCAACAACAAAGCAAGTTGGGAACAGGAACCACTAAGACCAGAAAACTAAATTGGGAATTCAACCACGGTCATCCTAACATAACCACAAGAGTTTGGCAACAGACAGCAATTAACCAAAAGGTTCTTGAAGCCAGAGAAGCTGGGCACTGGGTAGGAAACTCTGACCTAAATTATATTTTATTTAAAGAGCAACTGCTAACCTTTAATTCCAACTCCTCAAAATTCTTACTGCAGATGTACTAACCCAGAGGACATACAATAACTTTTTATTATATAATAAAATGTTAAATAATGGTGTTCTTTCCAATGTTTGGTTTTATTTTTCATAGAAACCTTTTCCTGAATTTCTATAAACCACGTTATGCTTGTAACATTTGTACACTTTAACATGCAGGCTTTAAAAGACTCTTAAACATGTTACCAATGAAAGCCCAAGTTTAATGCAAGAGTTAAAGGAAAGAAACAGAAGCAAACAAAAAAAAAAACCACCCCAAAAAAACACAACATATTCCCAAAAGTCACATACTTGACTTCAGTGAAAAAACAAACCCTTTACAATGAGGGAGAAACCACACCATTCACTTTTAAGAAAAGGAAATAGTACAGAAAGCTTTAAAAAACATAACTGTAATTTCTTAATAGTTCCAACAAATGTGAAATTCATGAACTATGGTAATGAGAAAATATCCACAGTTGAGAAATACATACTTTAGAATTCCATTTGCTCCAGAATAAGCTTCTATTGCATTAGTACTGGTGGGCAACATTGTAATAATTCTGTCAGCTTTTTCAGCTACATCTGCTGGGGAAGACACTACCTTTAAAAAAAATTTAAAAGGCACATTTAAATTAAAATGTAAGCAGTTTCTACAGCACAAGTAGGATCCACTTTTTACACATGCCAACAACACTGACAGTGAATAAAAACTCATCCTTGTTTCCAAATGACCAAAAAAAAAAGAACTTACTGCCTAAAAGGGAGTCCATTCCTTACACACATACAGATGTAGTTTGTATGGAATCAAATCTACTGTTTATTTTTAAAAGTGTGAAGGGAGTTGAGGGGAAAAGGGCAAAACCCAACAGTCCTGGGAATAGATACACTTCTCACGGATTCCTCCAACTTGGATTCTGAAACAGCATACTTTTTGGTAGATGCTTTGACTAAGAAAAACATTCTAGGACAACAGGGGCTAGTAACCACACTACAAGATTCAGCAGTAATTTCAATAGACAGCAAAGTCCCCAGTAAAATGATGAAGGCCCGATCCTCCAATCTCTGTTTGAAAAAAAAAAAAAAATTCAGCCTGCTTCAGAAACGGAAAGGTCAGGACAAGGACAGGAGCGCCCCCTGCACGGACGGTCAGTCCCACCACGGAGGCCGGGAGTGGGGGCTACCAGGACCCAGGGGGGACACATACCCCGGGGAGACATACAAATCGGCATCGAGGTACGCTCTCCTCTCAACCCTCATGCCGGCCTCCACGATGACCATGAACATGCTGTGACGCTGCCCCATCTGTCCTCTGCATGTGTGTGCGGGCCTGTGTGCACAGGCATGCCCTCACTCGCATTCCCCAACGCCTGCTCTCTCCTGTATCTACGCCCTGGTTCACCGGGCCAGCCAGGCCAGAAGAGACCGGGAGCGCACTCCTTGACCCGGTCTCCTTTAACAGAAAGAAGTCATTACTCCAACTGTCACAAAAGCGCCTCGAAAGCCTTCTCTCTCTTTAGAAAAAGGCAAAAGATCAGCAGGAGGATAATCAAAAATTTCTCCATAGAATTACTGACATCTGTGCTAGAAATTGACATGTTTTTCTACCAGGAAATTTGAAGTGATATGTGAGCATCTTAGGAATGGGAAAGCTTCTGCTTCTCACGTGTGGAAAACATATGTAGCATTTTCTTGTTGTCTTTGATGCACAGTTGATGAAAGTGGAGGAATGGGAAGCCAAGCACAGTGTGTAACCTAAATATTATGAGCTGTAAGTAATTGTATTTCAATTTGCCATAATAGACTAGCACCTTATAAATCAAATTCTAGATAAATGCGATTTTTAAAACATTTATTTTCTCTTTTTTAAGATCTTTTTTTTAGAGAGAGTGGGAGGGAGGGGGAAAGAGAGGGGGAGAAATATCAGTTGCCTCTCACATGCCCCCAACTGGGGGTCTGGCCCACAACCCAGGCAAGTGCCCCGACTGGGAATTGAACCAGTGACCTTTCAGTTCACTGAATCTCAAGCTGACACTCAATCCACTGAGCCACACCAACCAGGGCTAAATGAGATTTTAACATAAAGTAATTTCATAAGTCATACTTTAAAATCTCAGATACTCAACTATTCCAGCACTTTGTGTATTAACATTAAATGACAATACCAAACATCAGAGACACAAAAACAAAAAATATTCTCTCTCTTTTGAATGTTTCATTTTGGAGTCTACAATGTGGCATATTCAACATGTATACTTTGATACATCATAGCGATCTGCCACAAATAATTCTGAAAACAAATTTTCCCATCAATTACAACGAAATACTTAAATGAAAACCTTTCCTACACACATATATATACTGAAATTCAAAAAGACACAACTATTTCCTGGCAAACAGTTCAAGTTCTCCCAAGGAAAGCACAGGTCAGTAAGATGCAAAAATAAGAAAAGGACAAACTGTAGGAGCCATAGTTCTCTATGCCCGGACCGTATCGAGAACACGGGTCACACAGAGAGCCCCATCTGTTCGTCCCTACTTAACAGCCGTAATAAGCACAACACAAAACGGCATACCTTTCGGCGGCAGATCTTCCAGGGCCCGGAAGCCTTCAGGTCTAAGAGTCAGTTTCACACTTTCTCTTAGGAATTGAGAGAGGCTCTTCCACGGAAGGAAATGCAATTCCATCTAGATAACTCCTTGTGAGGTGCCCTTGGGGGCACAACAATTAGTTCACAGACCTAAGGATATTTCTTCACACTTCCAAGGTTCTCACGCCAAGGAATTGGCAGTGCCAGTTCATGCAACTGCCAAGTGCACGGGGCGGCCAATCAGCCCCCTGCGTCCCTAGCATCTGCTTCTTGGGATGCTTGGGTTGCCAGAGGCCTGCTAACCCCTCAATTATACGGGAAAGTAGTGTCAAAGCTCAGAGGTCCGGAAAAAACACACAATGATAGTGATAGCTGGAGTGTCACCACTGTACTGGCCACAACTGCTCCATAGCTAATGACTAGATCCATTCGGTACATTATAATAAGTCTCTAATTTGTACTATGGAAGGCACGTTTATTAGACAAGATAGACAGACATGTGTGTCCAGCTATTCAAATCATCTTGCCTTCCACGTGATGACTTCTACAGTCTGAAATAATTGACTGACAATATTTGGCTGTGACTCAAAAGCCGGGGGAAGGAAAACAAACCTTGCTGCCGGTCTGACACTAACCGCAAAAGCCTTTAGGAGCCAAACTAATTAGAGCCCCTTCAATTACGTTTGCTAATTGAATGGATAAGCAAAGACAGCATGTGTCAGTGAAAGGAACACTCATTTGAGAAACCAGAGACCCAGCTTCAGTTACAGCTCAGCCACTAAGTCATGGGTGATTCTCAGGCTTTAGTTTCTGAATCTACGAAATAAGTGTGATTTGAATTATCTTTAAGGGTTTCTGTCTCCAAAGTAGAAAGGAATCTCAGGCAAAGAAACATTTCGTATTTACTGATTTCAGAGCAAGGGGAAGGGAGGGAGAAAGACAGAGAGAGAAACATCGATCCGTTGCCTTTCACAGGCGCCTGGACCAGGGACGGAGCCTGCAACCCAGGCAAGTGCCCTGACCAGGAATCAAACCCACGACCTTTCGGTTTGCAGGATGATGCCCAGCCAACTGAGCCACACCAGCTAAAGCAGAAACTCTTCGTATTTAGTAATCTTAAGTTCCAGGAAGATACAGCCCTTGTAAAAACAGGGCTGATGGGATAGGAAGCATCTGCAATGACTCAGAACAATGCACAGCATTAGCAAGACTCGACTCTTCCTCTACTGACCTGGCTGACTCTGGGCCACGGCCATGCTCTGACAGTCACGGCCAGCCCAAACAATCTCTTGCTAATTTCAATGGCCTCATCCTTATGCCATTATGAATTAGTATGACTCTACTTTTCCATTCCCTTGATTTTGATTACAGGACATTGGTCCCCTTGTGTATCATGGTATCTACAATCTTTACAGGTTTTTGTAGTCAATTTCTCTGGATTTAGATTCATCTGTATGTACATGACATATACGTGACAATGTATACATGACAATGGCAGATGTGCAATACAGAGAGAAGACAAGATAAATTAAAGACAAAACCTGCTTTACTAGGTGAGGGGAAGGAGGAAGGATAAGGGCGTCAGGCCCAGAGTAACCAGAAGGAATTGCATATCCTTTATGTACAGTCCTTGCAAGGAGAATACTGTTAACTAGTTGCTCTATGTAAAGAGAAAAGCCTCGCTGTCTCTTCCGGACAAAAGAGTCACGAAAGTCAAGCTCAGCAGTGCTTCCAAGTAAGTGGGTAAGAGAAACTTGCAAAGAAATTAAGATGAACATGACCTTGGTTAAACTTGCCACATGGTATTTTTTAATCTCCCCAAGTAGAAAAGCATACTGTCAGTTCAAAATTACACTACACTTAAAAAAAACTGACAAAAATGGTTTGTGCCTACATCTTGAAACATTTGGTCAATAATGATGGAGCCCACTCAGCAAGAGGCTTTTAAAGTTCTGATTTAACAAGACCTGAGTGAATGCCAGATTGGATCCCAAGAGAATCACTTAACCAGACATGTTCAGCCTTACAACGCACGAACAACAGGATGGGTTCCAAGTTTTTGAAGAGAAAACAAAAGAGAATCTAATTAAGCCTAGTTCAACCAGAAAACTCATGCAGAAGTGGTGGAAGACTTTTGGCACAGAGCAGTGGCATCTCCAAGGAAATTCCTAGACAATGAAAATAAAAAAGAAGCATAAGTTACATGCCACCGATGCTAATGCTTACAGAGAAATCTGCAAAATAAACACAGGAAAGAAAGGGTGGTGCAGAATATATTCCCAAGCAGGGGTGCCGTCAGATCACTACCTCCTAGTTTGGTTTTAATTTTTGTCATCATTCTTTCACTTAAAAATATGTTTACAGTTCTCTTCCAAAGCACCCTGGGCTCAATGACTCAGCCAAGACAGTGGTGTATTTCTGTGTGGTCTTGGGGAGTGAAAGCTGGGAGAATTATGTTATAGATACAAATAAATACCCTGCACTTTTGATGTGCCAGATTCTACAGGGGTAAGAGGAAGGCATTACTACAAGCCCCATTTTACGAGGTGAGAACCTTTAAGTAGAGAGAGGCTAAATCATCTGAAGTCACACAGCAAGCTCATGGCAGACCCGGGATTTGAGCCCGGGAGGTGGAACCAGGCAACCCAGTTCCAGGGCTTAAGTTTTTAAAATGCTACACTCACAACTCATTGATTCACGATTTCTCATATACAAAGGCCTAAGAGTTACCATGGGTTCTATTCTCAGAAAAGAGGCTAAAGTTGAAATGATGCATTGTGGGTTAAACCTGTGTTTCCAATAGAAATAACGACATAATAAAGGAATACAGAAAGAAGAGTGTACAAATTTTTTAAGGAAATGAGCACAAATAACCACCTAATCAATTATAAATACCCTGTTAGAACAGGTTAACATTTAAAGGTATAAATACGTTGGTTAGATACAGTGATATCAAACATATTCAACACGTCAGCCTTGGCTGCTATGGCTCAGTAGATTGAGCACCAGCCTGCAAACCGAAAGGTCGCCGGTTTGATTCCTGGTCTGGGCACACGCCTGGGTTGCTGGCTGGGTTCCCCACTTGGGGGCGTGTGAGAGGCAACCAGTCAATGTGTATCTCTCACTCTCACACTCAGATGTTTCTCTCGCTCTCATTCTCTCTCCCTTCCTGTCTCTCTAAAAATAAATTCTTTTGTTAAATAAAAAATATTTAACATGTCAAAGTTTTTATTCCCTTCAGAACCCGTGTAGTATTTTTTACTGCTAAGGAGAGCTTGAAGAAAAATCTCCAGGGTTGGCGCACTCCAAAGCACTTCTTCCCTGGCCCGGCAGGTGCGCACCTTGCCCCTTCGGGAGAGGGAGGGTCCTGCCTGCGGGAAGCACAGCCTGCAGGTAGACGGCGAAGAACCTGACTCTATCCAGGTCCAAAACTCAGCTGTGTCTGGGGTCGGACCACTCCCCGACTCTTCAGTTACCTGAAACAATCAAGTCCCCGGGTTTTGCTTTAAAAAAAAAAAAGAAAAAGCGCTTCTTCAAGATGTTCAAAGATCTTTAAAAGAAGTTGACTGCTTTTGACCCAGATACTATTTTATTACTTTTTCTCCCAGCAAATTTCTCACTAAAAATACAGCTGACATTAGAAATCAACTAGCCAACAATTCTGCAGCCTTTGTTGGAGATCCAGGACGGTGGCGGATTAGACGGAAATTACACTAACCTCCTCCCAGGGCCAGGCTGCAATCTTTGCTGGGACAAAACCTGTATGAGTAGGCTTACATTTCATCAGCTCATTTGGCGTGGTAATATCGCAGGTGAGAGGGGACAACTATCCTTAAAATATAAGAATCAAGTCAAAGATAGTCTGAATGTTTAAATCCTTAATCCTTTCACTGCACTACTGTGCACAATGGCAAGAAGTGTCAAGATTTCCACGTACATTTTTTTCTATCCCATCCTGACCAGGTCTTCCCATTGACTTGCAGGAGAATGAAACTCATTTTTTCTCTTATTTAAAAACTTTCAAAACTTAACACAACCATGACATAATACTGACATTTTACTATATCGGAACTTACTCATCCAAATTAATGTTACTTTTTATTTATTTTTTTTTAAAAATTATTTATTTTTAGAGAGAAGGGAAGGGGGAGAAACACCAATCGGCTGTGACCTTTCACTTTGCAGGATGACACCCAACGTACTGAGCCACACTTGGCCAGAGATAATGTTACCTTTAGAGTGGCACCCCTAGGAAATCACACTTGTTCAAATGACACTGTCGCTATTCAGAAGGCTTTTTAAGCTGCCAGCACAAATCCTTTATCAGCAGATGTTTTCATTCAGGCCCAAAGCTTTTGTACCCTTTATCTCTCTGCCTTCACTCAGCTACATCTCGCCTTCTCCCACCCACGCTGCCCCACCGCTGTTGGTACAATCAGTACTCAGAGGACCTCTGCAGTCAAGGTCCTTAGGGGAACCAGACAGAGATGTGAGGGAGATGGGACGTGGGAAAGAGGGTTCCGTCTTCCAGGCCCGCTGCTTCAGTGTGAGCCACGCACACGGAACGTTTCCCACCGTGTGCTGGGAGGGTGGGGGTGGGCGCGCGGTAGGTGGGGGGGGGGGGGGGGAACGGCAGGCCAGAAGCTAAATCAGGCCTTTGCTCTTCACTGCCCTGGGAGGGGCTGCTACCCAGAACCTATCTTCTTTCCTTCCTCACACCCACAGACATGTCTCCATGTCTCACAGACCGGGGGGGCGGAGGGGGGGCTGGGGGGGGGGATCTAATAACTGAGTCTGTGTCCCAGAACCTTCTAATTTATTTTCAGGAATCGGAGAGATCTTGCCTCCGTGACTTTCATTCCAGATTACCTCATTTCTGTCTGTAGGTGATAAAGACCATACACAATACCAGTGTGCTTTCCTGCCAGAAATGAAAGGACTCTTAACAGTTAATTACTTACTTTTTCCTCCTTAAAAAAATGTTTCGACACTTTATTATCGTCAAAATACAAGTTTAGTAGAACCTTCCCTGTCATGTGACTTAGTCCTGCGACCTGAGACACATCTAACACCCGGCCCCATCCAGCTCAACCCAGTGTACCCTCCGCAGCAGCACCGGGCAGACTGCTGGACACACGACAGGTGCTCAGCCTGGTCCGGTTCACCTACAGGAGGATCTCTAGGAACCTGGGCACTGAGGCTCCCACTTCTCAAGAAAGTTGTTTCTTTACCCCATTCTTCATCTACATAAATCCTACTTACTCCGCCATCTTCAGCGAGAACTTCCCTCACTATCCTCTCACCCAATGTACAACACGTTTTCCTACAAACGAATGAAACTCTTGCCTTTGGACTGATCAGAGTTGGTCAGCTTTGCCGAACTGGTGCTACAGCGTCAGTATTCAGAGACCCTATGGGCAGAAGCGGCCATAGCCCTACCCCGACAAGCTCCAGGCTGACTCTCCTACAGCGCTGCTGCTTCCCCGCGGGGCACACAAGCCACGGAAGGAAGGAGTTGGTGAACACCAGTTCTGTGGATGGCCTCTGGCTAAGCGGCCTAAACCTGCTCTTGACACAGGCATTGCATTTCTCAGTATTTATTTCAAGTCTGTTTCCCAGAAGCTGACACTTAATTTTATATTTTCTCTCACCTTTTCCTATATTTCTCAGAATTTTTTTTAGTAGTCCCCCAGTTCTAGGATTACACGAATCCCTCAGTTACTACTCTACAAATCTGTACAAGAAAAATTTTCTTCATATCTTGAAAAAAACAAAACCCTAAATTCACTTATTAATACATGGTCTCCTGGGTACATGTATTACAGACAGAAAGAAATAAAGTTAGCAATCAGGCATACAACTCCATTGAGTGTATGAAAAGCTTGTCACTTAACTTGAATGTGCGCTCATTTTTAAATATCCAAATCTTAAGGAAAGACCTTACCTGTTCACCTGCATCGTGAAACTCTTTGCATGCATCAGGGAACACATCATAAATAACAAGCGGATAGCCATGCTTCATGAGATTTTTCGCCATCGGGTTCCCCATGTTGCCTAGTCCAATGAACCCAACAGGAGTCTTAGAGGCCACCGACCTGGAACACACTAATGCCGACACGTTACTTTCAGTTGGAGCAGATGACACGTTTCACTGCAAGCATGCACTCAACATTAGCAAACTTTTTCATTACAAACATCAACATTAGTAAGTCAACTTATTTTTTTTTCACCTGTCTCCCCCTCCCCTTCCCTTTGGCAACCATCATCTTGTTCTCTGTTTCTATGGGTCAGTTTGGCCAACTGTTATTCAGATGTTTTCTATTAAAAAATTTTTTTAAAGGCCAGTTTCAAACTAATGATCTCATCACGTTTAAAGATGTCGACAATGTGCATGCAGACTACCGCCTAATTATTTAGTTCTCCGGGAAACAATATATTGTTAAGCCATCTCTCTTCTGTTTTCTACCTCTAAAACATTCCTTTACCATTTTTAACAATAAACTTTAAAATGTTATCATTTATAAATACATATTATGTACTTTACATGAAGGATTCTAGATTCCTCATAACTATATTATCTCCTATTATAATGTGTGTAAAAAAATTAGAGTGTTCAATAAAACCTATAGCTTGGACAAGACCTAAGAACAGAAAAATTTTCACCTTCCCACCCCCACATTTTTAGAAACCATCCCTTCCAATGGTATATAAAAAAAAAAACAATCTGAACACAATGTTAACACAGGAGAATGTATTTCAACCGAAAGCCACCAGTTTATAAATAGGATTCTAGGAGGAGGGGAACACTTCCAAGGGCTTTAAATGGCAAGAGGAGCAGTCTCAGGACCTTGGACTAACGACTCTGCGACTCCGCGCACTTTCAGAAAAGAGGCACTTCCATTTATAGGAAAAATAAAGTTGTTCTTGACAAAACCTGTATGCTGGTTTTATTTGATTTTCTTCACACTCACAAAAGGCTTTCTGAAATCACACTGTGGCAAGACAGAGCAGAGAGGCTTTGCATTACCATGAAAATAACATTAGACCTTATTTCTGTTTCTAGATTTAGACTCCACCCAACGAGTATTTACTGCGCAAGTTCTGTGACAGAGCTCGGGGACAGACACAAGCAAGTTATGGCCTTGGCCTCAGAAAGTTCCGTCCAGTGAGGAAAGGAAGAGAAATAACTCCACCTGTCTCTTCCCACCTTATTTTTTTTTTCCAAGGACACACTGTAAAACTGTAGCTCACCAACCAACTGTAGTCACCATTTTAAGTTTCAAGTCCTCTCAACTTGAATCCCTCCTCTTCCTTGAACTTAATGTAAATGCAATATCTTAAAAGCAAATTATTTGAAGTCCTAATGGTTAGGAATTAGAGGTCTTCTTAGGTCAAAAGCACATTTCATTCCTTCTAACTTGACGATCGTATCTCACACACCCATTAGCATGGGTGCCGTTCTTGTGCAACATCACCCTCCAGTGCTCAGCTGAGCACGCGGGCCTAAGAGGAAGCCTGTGTCTGACTTTCTGGTCACGAGAGGTTCGGTAATGATGATAAATAGTGCATTTGCCAGTAGAACAAGAATCAAAAGGGCGGGTTATGTCAACCAGAAGGCTAGTTCGACTTTTAAAATATTGAGAGTACAGCAATTCCTAGTGATGAGATCTTAGAAGAGCTGAAGCTAGTTGTTGAAGTTGAGGTCAAAAACAATGAGGCCCCGATTCTGGATGGGCCACTATGAAAATCAATGAAGATGAAATTTTTGTTTGTTTGTTTGTTTTTTAAATGTCAAGTTTTTTTAAAGATTTTATTTATTTATTTTTAGAGAGGGAAGGGAGGGAGAAAGAGAGAGAGAGGGAGAAACATCAATGTGCGATTGCAGGGGGCCGTGGCCTGCAACCCAGACATGTGCCCTGACTGGGAATCGAACCTGCGATACTTTGGTTCGCAGCCCATGCTCAATCCACTGAGCTACGCCAGCCAGGGCTGAAGATGAAGTTTTTAATGGCAGGCTCTATTCTCTTCATATGTGTGATATGGTAGTGTAATCACATGATTTGATGTCAAAAGGAAAGGGGTTATTTACTGATGATGATATTTAAGAACTTCTCTCAGTTTAAAAGACCTAGATTCCTATCCATGCAAGGTTAATGCTCACATGTATGCCCTTGAACTAGCAAGTTACTTAACTTCTCTAGACATTTTTACCAACAAGAGTAACTCATTCAGAAGGTGGTTGTAAACACTTGAGATAATGCATGTAAAGCATTAATAGTACCTGGCATGTGACAGTCAGTAAGAATGCTACTTTTGTTATCAGTGGTCAAGAAGTAGCACGAGGGTACTAGTCCTATGGCAGATGCCCCCTTCCTGCCGAGCAGGCTAGAAGAGCCAGAATGTTAGAAGGAGGGATGGAGACTACTTTAGAAGAATGCCCCGTGTCTAAGGAAACACGGCTTTTAGCTCAGCTGATATAGCAGAAGGCATGCTTGGACAACATAGAAAAATATGCTCTTAAAGGAGAAGAAATTCAAAGGAGCATAACAGAATCATTATCCTAAAAATATGCAAACTTAAATAATACACCTTCCTTTAAGTTACACAGACAATACCTGGAAACAGTGCAGTTAGTAACTCAAGTTAGCAGAAAAGCAGCCAATGCAATACAAAGGGACTAGTTGGAAAATTTGAGCGTTAGTTTCTAAATTTATAGATTTACGAATTATGTCCCATTTCTCCAATGGGATGTGGGCAAAGTTATCTATATCCTGGATAACTTGAATTAAGTGCTACCAAAAATGTGGCTTCCCTAAGTTTCAAAATGCAAAAATTGTAATAGGATAATTATTTCCCATTTCCAAATATTTTTCCCCTAATCAAAGTGATACATTTCACTGTATCGATAGATAATGGGAAAATACAAAAAAAGTGTAAAGTCATAAGGGAAAAAGTTAACCTCACTACACAAAAATCATCACTGCCTTTTGAATGTATATTCTCATTATGTCATGAGATTGTGTCACATACACGCTTTGTGTCTCACTCTATCACACAATATTGTTATAGGCATTCTATTTGCTTAAGACTTACTAAAATAAGGATAGTGACGTACTCTATAAAGACCTTTACTGTTTGAATCAAGTTATTGCAGAAATAAATATTCTCCCTACATAATTTCACAAGTTCAAGGTCAACTTTTGGTCCCAGAGCCATGAGCTACTTTTCAGAGCTCTATGTGGATCCCTAGAAGCTAATATAGAAAGGAAAAAATGACATTGCATATTTTATTTATGCTATGTGTTGTTTTGAAAGTATATTTCTTACCCACAAAAAGGGCCAATAACAAAAAAAGATTATGCCCATTTCTGCACCTGATGCTGGTTAGTTTTCCCATTCTACCTCTGGTCAGGGGGTCCCCTTGGAAATGATCTAATACAAATTATTTTTCTATGTACCTGCTGATGGGTCACAATGACTGTCAAGGGCCTATGTGTTTAGATTTTTTCAAATCTGTATAAAGAAGTCTAAAACTAAATTTAATTACCTTCTAAGATAAAATACAAAACTTACTTTTACTAAATGGTGATCAAATAGTAATATACATATATAGTTTAATATTGCTAATTTTTCTACTTCCTTTTTCATACTATAAATATTTTTAAATTAAGATGTGCTATTAGCGGACAAATTTTAGGTCTCATTTTTTAAAAATAGCAAATAATTGTACAGATCTTTATAATATTACCATCCATATGATATAAACATCTTAAAACATACTACGGTGACAAGTAACACACAGAATTCAGAACACTAACTAACATGACTATTTGAACATGGTTCTTTTTCTTAACGTCCCTAGACTCCAAACTTGCATGCAGATATTTTAAGACTCCAGTGTCAAAAAAGTTAACAGTTTTGTAGTAAACAAATATTAATTGAAACATTTAAATACAATCCCAGAGTAAAAACAACTGCTAAAGTGTTTTTAAACAATCACCACAAAAAGAACTACTTATCATTTATCATAAATCTACATTCATAGAGCATCTTTGAGTCAAAGAACCTACGGAACAAGAGCACACACGGAAGCAGTCTAACCAGCACTATGGAACAGCACTCCAGTTTACAGAGACAAGTGTTAGAGCCTGGGGCCTCCGGCTCTGTTATCATGACTTATAACAAATGTCTTAACTCCAAAAGGTGTAGCAAGAGTTCAGTAAAAGATTATCTGAACACCCTGTAAAACCACTCCAACAACACGTCGTCCTTGGCTAATCAAAGCTGAAAGAATTGCACATTCACCTGAAAACTGGTGCAACATTTACTACTGTGGAAAAGTGAACTAATCAGGTTTTTTTTTAAGTATCTCTAAAGTAGGAGGCGTTTTTTGGTAGGTCAGTACAGTAGCTCAGTACAGTAGCTCAAATAGCTGTTACACTCAAGTTTGGCAGATTCTGTGAGTTTGCATCTCGTTGCTGTGATTCTGTATCAGACATCTGTTCTCTTGCCTCACAAGGAGCCTGTCCTACTCAAGCCAGGGAGGAAACTCAAATTCTTCTGCTTAGCTTTTACTGAGAGGGAGGAAGGGGAGCTATTAAAAACTCAATTCTGAGCATGCTGGGGTTTTTAATCAAATATATATGCATACACTAATACCAAGGCTTTTAAAAAATCCTGAGTATGCTCTTCCTACAGTGTTAAAACTCGCACTTTTACAGGAAAACAATGGCAGTGTCCACACAACTTTTCAACCAACTTTTCAATTAAAGAGGAATCCCGGTGTAATAGAAAATGCAGGGATGAGGATGAATCAAGGACTTTGTAGATCCGGCTAGACAGACACCCTAATTCACTCGCCCAAGGGGCCTCAGGTTCTTCACCTGAAAAGTGAAAAAAATTCTATCTCTGTGACTCTAAAAGCTGCCTCTTCCTAAGTCAATGGTTAGCTTCCCTAACTTATGGGGAGAGGAAGAGGATAGGTTCAGGCCACGATTTTGAGGACGCTGAAAGTGTTTTGGTTAATAATTTGACAGAAGGGCCATCTTCAGGTAGCACAGTTCCAAAGGGGAGGAGGTGGGAAGTCTGCCTTGCGGGTCAAGGGTGAATTATAACTTTGCTGGAATGACTTACTACCTGGTCTGCACTGACACCACTCTTGCACTTAAGATTAAGTTGGTTAAACAAAAATCACGCCCCTCTGCCCAAGGGGGCGCCTGCCCAGAGTGCGCCCCGGGAGCGGGGAGAGGGAGGGGGCGGGGCGCTGAGAAGGCCAGCCAGCGCTGCAACGCCAGGAGTCACAGGGGTGGATGGAGGGTCGCCCCCGAGGCTGGGCCCTTCACTTGTTCTCCGAACCTTAACTCTAAAGGAGCACGCCCCAGACCCAAATATTCTTCCTTTTACCCCCAAGTTCTTCCCCCCGCGCCACTTAAGTCCCAAAAAGGGCGCTCGATGAACGCCATTCATGGGGATTCGGGGCAAGGTTATTGGTGGGAAGCACGAGCGGTGCGAAAGGCAGTCGCAAAAAACGCCAGTCCTTGGGATCGGCCAAAATGTTGGGTTTTAAGCCCCGATCCAACCTCAGCGCCTCCCGTGAAAAGACATCCTCGGCCGTCAGGACGCGAGAAGAGAGCGGCAGGAGGAGGGATGTGGGAAGGAGGCACGAAGTCCTTACCCGATGCAAGGTTAGCCGCTGCCGGCCATTGCCGGCGGCTCCAGTACCGGAGGCCGGAGGCGGCTCCACGGAGCCACACGGAGGCTGCCATGCTGCCCCCGCCCCGCCTCCCCGCGGTGACCTCCGCCGCTGCGGCTCCCACACAGTCTGGGAGTGTGCGCTGCGAGACAGGCAGGCAAAGCACCGGCTTGGGGCAGCGCACGCACGCTCTCTGCCACGGGGGTGGACAGCCACCAGCGAGGGGCGGAGCGCAGCACCGAGAAGCACCGCCCCTCAAAACAAGTGCCGTCAATCCAGGGAGCGCACCAATCACGATTCGCGAGTCCTCCGCACTCCGAAAACCACCAATAGGAGGCCTTTCTAATGCTTACGTCATGCTCCCTGGCCCCGCCCCCGAGCTTCAGCTGGTTTACAAACTGCGGGCAAAAATCTCCTTGTTTACCAAAACGCGGAGGGTGTGTGGGAGGCGTTGGCTGTCACTACCGCCTCCTCCGAGCACCTGACTCCCCAGAACCACCCCCTCAGAGGGTTGTAACTGCCTGTGTTGCCTCCCTGAAAGCAAGTAGTAAAGTTCCACTTGCTGCTGCTGCAAGTTTTAGACACGAGAAGAAATTACTGTTTTCTAAGTATGGGACTTATTTTTAACTGCAATAATTCGTGGGTCTCTTGTATTTGTAGTCTTAGTGTCTGTCTCTTCATTGGGAAACAGTCACAGAAATCTACCATGAATGCAATAAGTGCGTTAAATTGATTTGATTTAAGTTACCCAACAGCTTCTTTAATAAATTTGAAAAACAGTAGGAAAACAAGTTCATAACTGTTCTCTTTGAAGTGTGGAATTACAAGGAAGTAACACTGTATTCCAATATATATTTCTCTAATGTTTGAACATTCTGCATCCATTTTGTTAACAAAAATAGAAAGTACACAAAAGTCCAGAAAATAGTGTGCCAGACAGATTTATTCATTCTGTCTGTGCTTGATGTACGTATTTGAACCTCAGCTAGTTGGCGATGATTGCAGCGCCTGACCTTCCCACTGACCTCGATCAAGGGGTTGGGAGCCATGCGCACAGCAAAGCAAGACTTGCAGCCTTTGCAGAAGGGCAGTCGGGAGGAAAGGGAGTGAGTAGTGGCTAGGGCAAATGGGACCCCTTGCCAGGGTACCCACTGCCCTCCCCAAATACAGTTTGTTTATTCATTTGCCTAGGTTGTGCTCACCCAACTTTTTTTAAAAAATATTTTATTCACTTATTTTTAGAGAAAGGGAAGGGAGGGAGAAAGAGGGAGAAAAACGTCAATGTGTGGTTGCTTCTTGTACACCCCCCACTAGGGACCTGGCCCACAACCCAGACATGTGCCCTGACTGGGATTCGAACCTGTGAGCTTTTGGTTTGTAGGCCAGCACTCAGTCCTCTGAGCCACAGCAGCCAGGACTCACCCAAACTTTTCATCTAAGTAGCAGGATCAGCAGATTTGACTTTAATCCTTTGTCTAGTAACTTGAGCAGTTGGGAGTGCCTAAAGAAAAAGGAAAGAAAGATAATTTCCAAGCAGGCTCTCTCCTGATTCTGGGCATGCTAGCAATATTCCCAGGGACTGGTACAGAATGCAAGATTCTCATTTGTAAGTGGTATGAAAACAGTTCCCTTCTTTGGCTGTCTCTCCACCCAAACCCTCTACTCCACACCAACCAAAAAGAAGGAAGGGAGGAAGAAAGGGAAGAAAAAAATCATTTCTAAAAAAAAATAATAATAATAATTTCTGCCATTGGAAGTCTCCTAGCATTTCCTACCTGGCCCTCTCTTCCTGGTTTATTTAGATCTTAGTTGGAATAGACCTCCTGCAACCAATAAATGTAGCTCTGGGGTAGGTTTCTATAATTAACTGCTGAAAGGTGCCTGCCTTTCAACTATGTCAACCTACATAGCAGAGCTATTTACAACACAGGACAACATATCCATTGATCTCCCAGCTCCTAAAGTTTATATCCCAGTCCTCCTGAGATTTTATATTCAATCAGATTGTTTTTGTCATTTTTATTGTGAGCTACTGTTTTTGTTTCTCTAGGTTGTTTATAGGGCTCTTTTCTTGAAAATTAGTATTACTTTTCAAAAGGTTGCCTTCTATGAACAGTGTCCTCTTAGGAATTCAAGCAGGGCTCAGAAAGAGGAACAGGCAGAACTGGAGCTGGGCATGAGATCTTCTGCATTTTTTTTAGCTGATGTAATGGCTTTGAAAAGGGAGTGAGTGGCACTGAAAATTGGATTCTTTTTGCTCAACTAGAACCAGGGCATAAATCACAACTTTTCCATATCCCTACCAGTATGTAGTTTAATATCTCTTCTCCAAAGCCCTATACTGGTTTATAAATTAAGGCTCTGAGATTTTTCACAGGACTTTTTCATAAGCATTATGATTTTTAATTACTGCTGCTTGAAGGTGATTGCAGATATTATTGTATTTGCAAAGGCAGTTACTACCTGTGATTGTCTTTCTTTATATGATCACATTCCTGATATGTTTGTTTGAAAGGCACTGAACTTCTCCCTAAGTTCATGATACTAGTTTTGTTTAAAGTTGTGTTCCAGTGCATTACAGGCCCTTTATCTCACCTTCTGGGAAGATGGAATAGGTATCGTTTTCTCTATCCCTCCCAATAAATACAACTAAAACCTCTGGACATTACATGTAGAACAGGTGGAGAAAAGAAGGCATAGCAGCTAGAGACCTCAGGACCCCAAAAGGAACAGTGTTAAGTTCTTGAGTTTTCATTTAGCTTCATGTTCCCACACTGAATTCTAGAGAAGCCGAAAACCAGAAACCTGAAACTGCCAACAGACACAGACAAAAATGTCTCAGTAAAAGGCTAGTCTCTCTCTAGCCAAAGAATGAAAAAGATGCAGCCTACCAACACAGATAACTTTGAGAAAATAACCACTCTACTCTAGACAAATACCACACAATAATAACCTGTGGCCTCATCCCCACCATGCCTGCAAAGGCTGAGTGAAGAGCCTACATTTGCACAATATCCAGGCTATGATGAGACACCCCAACACCCTAACACCCTTATTGCCCTGCTCCCCAACTCCACTGATGTGATGTCAGAGAAGGCCAAGTAGAGACACAAGACTTACATTCCCACCGCTAACCAGAGCCCCTCCTCACGTGCCCCTCCCCCATCCTCATGGGTGTCACTGGGGACTTGTGGGGAGCCTGGACTTCCACCTCTACCTGACACTAATGAGACACCCCTCCCTGTCTCTGTGTGGATGAGATCAGAGGAGGGGCTGAGTGGAGAATCAGGACTGTCACCACTGCCCAGTGTAAGGAGGCCGCCCCTCCCCACCGTGGCGCCAGTGGATGCCACCTGGGGGGCAGTGATGCAACACTCCTACCCCTGCCAGCTAGGGAGGTATCAGTGGAGGTCTGGCGGGGAATTGAGACTCTCACCCCAGCCCACCAGTAATGAGGGGCCTCCCTCCACCCATGGGTGTCAACAGAGGCAGATAGGCAACCTCAACTCCTATCTGGCATTGGCAAAGATGGTGCTCCCTCCAGGCCCTCCCTTTCCAGGGCGGTGTCAGGAAATGCCAGCTAAAATAGGCAGTTTGAATAAGATTCAGAGTGGCATAATAACCAGCATGTACATGTTATAATAGAAAGTCATTCATCATGTCAAGAACCAGGGATATCTCTAAGTGAATGGGGAAAACATCAATATCGAGATAACAGAGAAGTTTCAATTATCTGACCAGGATTTTAAAGCAAGTATCAGGAAAATGTTTGAATGAGCAATGAGAACACGGTTAAAACAAGTGAAAAAAAATAATCTCAGCAAAGAAATAGAAAGCCTCAGCGAAGAATACAGAAGATATAAAGAAGAAATTAATGGGAAATTTAGAATGGAACAGGTGTCTTTTGAGACATCTGCACCAGCTGCCAGGTTTCCACACACCCTTGGCCTCAGCTCCAGTGCGTTAGGCCTCCCACCCACGCTCCGTAGAGCCAGCTGTACCTGGGGGTTCCAACTCTCAACTCCGTAAGACAGAAAATCAAACCTAAAGTTATTCACCACACTCCAATCTTCCTCTAGTGGGTTCTATATATTACTTTGTATGTTGAGGGTCCCCAAAATCACCCCTAGGTTTAGGGATCTGCTAGAAGAACCCAAGACTGAGCATATAGTCATATTCGTGGCTGTGATTAATTACGGCAAAAAGACGCAAAGCCTGGACTGTAGTGGGAGCCTCTCAGGCATCAGGCTCGGGATTTTGTTGGCTCTGGCCACACATTCACTAGCCTGCCTGTCTCACGGACTGTCCTCTGGAGTGGCACCGTGCCAAAGAAATACAATGCGAGCCACCAGTCATTTTAAGTTTTCTGGTAGCCACTTTTTAAAAGAATAAAAGAAACAAGTGAAGTTAATTTTAACATATTTTATTTGGCCCAATATATAAAATGTTATCATTTCCTTATATAATCAGTGCTGAAAGTTATTAATGAGATATTTTATATTCTTTTTTTCACAGTAACTCTTTGAAATCTGGGGTCTGTTTTGTGTTTACAGCACATCTTAATCCAGACGGGCCACATTTCAAGTGCTCAGTAGCCACATGTGACCAGTGACTACCGAATTGGACAGTGCAGCTCTAGAGAAAGGCCAAGAGGTCACCAGAACCCTGCCATTGTCACACCGATCAGGAAGCTGGCAACCCTGTCATGCACATTGTCCCTCAGCATTTGTTTGAGGTAGAGACTGAGGCCTCCAGTGCTATTGTCTCAAGGAAACACCTAGGGTGGTGCCCTGCTACACATGTAGTAGTTTCACACAGATGAAAGCCAGATGAGCTGAATGACAAGGGTGCAGAAACAGCTCCTCACCATGATGTGCACCTTCAGCTCCTAAAGACCCCCCTCAAAAGAACCCTCCTGCTCTTAGCAAGTCTAGAACGAAGCCCTAAGCAGCTGTGTGCCCCTAGAAATTAAGGCTAGGGGCTTCATTCTTCCGATGGTAAATTCTTGGAGCTCATAGGAGGCTTTGACACCAAGAAGTCAGAAAGCTGCTCCATTGCAGATCATCCATTCAAAAACCTCTGAACTCCTGTAACTTCGCAAAGATTGGCAAACCTCCTCCAGCGACACCAAAAGAAAACCCCTACCTGTGTCCATGGTTGGCAGGCCTCTGGGAGTGCCCTGACGGTTCACACATGGTGTGAA